GGAGGTAAGGCTGCTGGGACTCAGTGTGCTGTCTGTCTTTAACTCCAGCCTCTATTCAGAAACACACACAAAACACATACTTACTGTTATACAGCGGGATTTAGCTGTTTTCACACTAATTTCCAAATATTGTACTTTTTACTCCACTACATTGTAATGTGGCAGCTATAGTTACTGGTCATCTTTCTTTAATAAAAGTGAAACTTTATTTTTATTTTAATGCAGTTTTGATTGTTCCTAAGTGCAGCAACCTGCCTTATTATTTTTCTTTTTTAGCTACAGACTCTTTTAAGTGCACGTTTAAACCAATTAAAGTAAAAAGTGGTTAAATACAGTATTCTAACTGCACTGACAAGGAGTTTTAGGATGTAATTATATTTAGACTGCAACAGTAAAATTCCATGTACACATTATTGCATCAGTGATAATAGTACTATATTGTAACTTACAGTATAAGTATGTATAATACATCACAATTAAATGAGCATTCACTCGCATAATAAGTACCTTTACTTTAAATAGGCTACTTTAAGTACATGTTGCTGACATTATCTTTTAATACTTAACTTACTGAGCTGTTCAGTGCAGAACATTTACTTGTAACAGGCTATTTTTTTATACTGTGGTACATTTCCTAAAGTAAAGGATCTGAATACTTTATCCACTTCCACCACTAGAACCAAATTACAGGATGATGCCTGAAAGAATATCCTTACTCATTAAATATAAGTGTTTCTCTGTGAGGCGGTCAGAGGGTCAGTGATCTGCCTGCAGGTCTGAAACACTGCAGGGAAAGGTTGGCTCTGATGCTAAAAATCTTATCAGCTAAATTATCTTCTCCCCCTCTTGCGTGATTGAGTGAACAAAATAATCAAGTAATTTTAGCGTGCTTCTCATTTTTACCTATCAGTCTATTCCAGTGGCAGGTTGTATCAACTGTAAATAATTAACGTTAATTCTGTAATGGCTAAAGTAAGACTTGTGGCTGTTGACTAATTTGTGCTCTGCATATCAACTAAATAGTTCTCGATTAGGGCCTCAAAGTATTTGAAGTGGCTTCAGGTGTAAAAGTCAGTGGGATATTTCAGTGTGTCAGGTACACATTTAATGCATGAAGCTCCAAGGTTTAATGGTGGTTCAACTTGTCACCTTGCTGCGGTGATGTAGAGGTGTACTCCAGGACCCGGTGACATCACTGTGACCCGGCCACACCCAGCAGTAATGTGGCTGTGGTCAAAGGTGAAATAGCCTGAAGACTTTCAACCAGAGAGGGCAGCAAAACACAGATTTTCAGCCTGGTGTTTGATTACTCTTTAAGCTCTGTATGTGGCTCTGTGCTTTTCCCTTCCGTCCATTGTTCTCCTCTCCGCCTTTCTCTCCGTCTCCTTCCTCTCCTGCGTAGACCACCCCTCCTCCTCTCTTTGCATTTTCTCCCTTTCTGTCTTTCGTTTTCTTCTTATCTGTCCTCAGCCTCGCCCTGCTCTCTTGCTCCAGCCTATGTTCAGGTCTCTCTCTCCCCCTCTCTACCTGAAAGTGTCACATTCTTTCTCTCACCCGTTCAGCTTTTTCCTCCAGTGAGTCGATGCTTCGTCATTTTGATACAGAATCTCGACAGCAGACAAACTCTAGAGAGAAGGGAAAATATTCAGAATAAGGGAAGGGCAGGACACCAATTATACTTTCAAATATAAAATATAAATCTCTTATAAATACAGAGAGAGGAGAGACGTTTCTAGTGTGTGTGTCTCAGTGTTGCATAACCTCTGTGAGTGGGCCGCTGTTTGTGTCCAGTACTATAAACTGCTCCAACAGCACTAACATTGTGAAATCACACACACACACACACACACACACACACACACACACACACACACAGTTTACTTCTTAATGAAGTGAGGAGTCATTCAGACTAATCCTTGTTAGTCCATCCTGCTGTAGTTGTGTAGAACAGTGACAGTTTTAGATACAGTTGACTTTCTACAATGGAAACACGTTCAAATATTGGAATTCTTAAGGACTCTGTATGGAGGGGGCTGCCGTTATCTGTGTTTATTTAGGTTAGGTGTGTTGACAGTTTAAAACATGTATTTTAAATTAAGGGTCCACGAGAAAGGGGAGCTGGAGATCTGGTAGACAGGTGATCCCGGACACAGAGAGAATCGGACATCCAACAGTGACTGGAAAGCAGCATTATAGAGGTCAAGTTACGAGATGAGTGCAGCAGGATTGCTTGATTGGAGAGGGTGAGCGGGTGAGCAGTGAGAGGGAGAACTCTTGTATTATCAGTCCTAGCAGAACTGCGGCATCCTGGACTTTGTTAGCGTGAGGTGTGCACACAAACCAGTTGGTTTATCTTGCCGTCAATCAACACATCAGTAGCACTGGTGCCCATAGTGAGCTATCAGGCTTGGTTGTAACCCTGATTTGTGATCCAAGCATCGTTTGAGCATCACTTTGGTTGTGTCCCAGACCATCCCAAAGCTCTCTGAGGATCGAGGAGCAATCTCTGAGGAGCTATGAGCGAGGATCCACCAGCGCGGAAGTGTTTTACTGACCGACACGCCCCCTTACTGGGTAGCCGTTGTATTGATTGGACGCTGCTGATCGGACTGATCTCATGCATAACATTAAACTCAAGTGCATCACTGCAAAGTGTTAGGTAGTGTTGTAGTCAAGACCGCCCAAACCGAGACCAAGTCAAGACCAAGACCAGAGTTTACAGAGACAAGACCAAGATTTTTAGGGGCTGAGAGCAGTCGAGACCAAGACCGAGGGAGGGCGAGACGGAGCCAAGACCAAGACCAGTTCCCTGCATTGCATGGCACGCAATAAAATGTGGAACGAGATCATAGGTAGTTCACAAAGTGATCTGAAAGATCCACTTTCCCATTAAAACACCCACATACAAACAGTAAGAGCTGAAATTAACGTAAACATCGCAGGGAGGGGTGACAGTCATTAATTAGGGTTATTGGTTGCATTTGAAGCAATATGTTTTACTTCCAATCAAAGTTAGGACGTTAACAAATCAGACAATGCAAAAGCAATTTATTGATATTCCCAAAGTTACGGTCTTGACTGGTCTTGATATAAAATCCCGAGTCCTCAATGAGACCGAGACAATACTGAGTACAAATGCGGTCGAGACCAAGACCTCTTTGTGATGGTCTCAGTCGTGTCTCGAGTACTACACACTAGTGTTAGCCTATATTTGATTTGTTTTATGGTTCACTGTCTAGTTAAAGCTCATTGTAGGTCTGAACAACAAAAGCACCCACACAACTTTATACATTTATTAGAAAGAATTTCTTATATTAACTTTTATTATGTAGACAAATAAAATCAGAGAGAGTCGGAGAGTCTGTTAGCAAGAAACATGTTGTACATAATTTATTGTCATTTCTATTCAGTCACATGTGAGGCTGGTCATTCCTGTGTTTAGTCCAGATAGATGACAATAAAACATAGTAAACAAGTGAGGAGTTGGACAAGTCACTAAACCGCACTACAGTAGGCTATCTAATGAGGCAAGCAAAGGAAAATAAAGCCTGCTCATCCAGCCATCTCACCTACTGCTTCTGATGAAAGCAGAGAAAATTCAGCTGATTAAAGAATGAATGAAAGAAAAAGAAGCGTCGGATTGATATGATGGAACGCAGTGATCGATCGGTGACGAGTGATGTGACTTGCAAATAAACTGTAGGCAGTAGTGTTAAAGGATATCAGAAGAGGAAATATGAATATGATATGAGTTTGGCTACATCCTTTCAATTTCCCTGAAAGATTTAGCATAATAAATCCCAAGACAACATGATTATATTCTGGGTTATTTAATAATGAATTCACAATCAGAATTGGTAAATATAAATGCAGATAATATCAGCATTGTGCCAGTAGAAATGATCCTGTGCCTCTGAGCAGGACATAGAAACCTATAATTATTCATGTGCAGGTGTGTTATAACAGGTAGGCCAACAGCTAGAGAGAATCGTGCTGCTCTGCACTGATAACTGAGACTTTATTAGCACAGTGCACATGTGTGAAGACACAAACTCTTATCAAAAGTGTGTAGCCTACAGCTGGTAGAGCCGACTGACAGCTGATGCAGCTGTGATCAGCCGCCGCCGTCATCAGAAAAGGACGTCGCTTCATGTGGCGCTTCTGGGGAAAGGACGTCTCATGTCTCTAAAAACACATTTCCTCGTTCCTTCTCTCCTCGCTTGGTTTAATTGCGTCTCTCCATGTATCCCCGGTGGGCAGGAGACGCAAGCAAAAGATGCAAGTGAGGGAAACACGTATGCAATTAAGAGACTTGAGAAGCACCCAGTGAGTTGATTGGTTATGATGCTTTAGTGAGCTATTCACATCCTGTGTGTTGACCTTTGACCCCTAAGAAGAAAACCATTAGGATGGTTTGATTTGAGTACTTAATTACTTTGAGTAAATCTTGTTTTACTTCATCATTTCTCCTGTTTTCTTTTTTTATTACGAGGCTGTTGTGAGCTCACAGTTTGTCAATTTCAGCAGAAACCTCACAGACGTTAGTTGTGTTACTGTTCTGTAAACAGCTCTCATATTTGACAACTTTACAGTCTGCTAAAGTGTACTTTGGGACTTTTTTTTCACAGCAAACCTAATTTCTACATGTTTATATGATCTGTTATAAATCTTAACTGCAGCTATTCACATCAAATACATCTTCCCGGTTATTCTGCAATTCCTGCTGTTCCACCAAAACAGCAGGGACAGATTTAAGTCTGCAGGAGCTAAAAATGTGATAACAAAGATGAGTAGAAAAACTTTTCCCATCCAACTCCTTTTTGTACTATAGATTTTCGTCATTATACTTATTTATGGTCTCTCCATAGACTCATATTGTGTATTTTTATATCTAAATGAATGATAACAAGTTTAACTTGACACATCATCCTTCAGTTCTATAAATCATAATTCATTATTCGATTTTCTTTTCTCTCTCTCTCTCTCTCTCTCTCTCTCAGAGATGTAGCGTGTGTGTTGGTGTGATCGGCGGACCATCATGCACCTCTTCTTGCTGCTGATCCTTCAAGCCACAGCAGCTTTCGGACAGATTGACCCCGGTACACACATACATACACACAAACATGTAATTCTACTTCAGTACCTGTGAGGACCATCATTGACTCAATACGCTCCCTGTTCCCCCAACCCTGACTCAGTTCTACTTAATTTGATAAATCAAGTCTGAACCCTCAAGCAGCCATTAGAAGAAGAAGAAGTAAATAAAATGTCTTTTAATAGTCACATTGGTCCCCACAGTGTCAGTAGTACAACATCACTCACACATTAAGTAACATTTTAATTTTTTAATTTAACCCTTTTAATTTTATATGGTTGATTGGGATTGTTTATATGTGGGTGTTTTCAGCACACTGTCGCTATGCCTTGGGCATGGAGGATGGACGGATTAAAGATGATGACATCACAGCATCCAGCCAATGGTACGAGACCACGGGACCACAGTACGCCAGGTCAGTGTGACTTAAAGAGTGATGTGATTGGTTAATAAGATATAAATAACTGTTGATTTCATTGTTCTCACATGTTCTTAAATGCCCTTGTGCTTGGATCTGTTTACTGTTTACACTGTAGGGATACTTTTATAGTTTTTTAATACCATTGTACATGGTTACACATGGACGAGGTTAACACATGTCTTGTAGAATCATTTCTTACAGTTGTAAGTTGTCATGCGACATTTTGATAAGTCTAACAAAGAAGAATTGACTCGTTAATCAAAATGAACTTGTGATTGCTGTAATAAATCATTTGATTTTGATTTTATTCAGACGGAACTTTTCAAGATACTCAACATTATCAAGCAGAAATTCTGTATTAACTGTGTGTGTGTTTGCAGGTTGAATTGTGAGGAGGGAGACGGCGCCTGGTGTCCTGAGGGACAGCTGGAGCCTTCAGACAGCCAGTACCTGCAGGTTTGTGTCTGCTCGGTGCTATAAAGAAAGAAACACCAGCAAACATGTTCAGTCAAGTTCACATACCCGTATGAGTTTGACAGTGTCTGTCAGGATTCTCAGTTATTCAAGTCAAAGGTGGATGAGACACAAAATGTCCTCCGAAATCTACAGCAAGTCCAGCTGTCCTTGACTAAGCTCTAAAATCAGGGTTTAAGTTAGGATGTGTAATTAGAAGGAGTGATGCCTGCAGGAGGAAAGCATCTTGTGGAGGAAATGTGGATTGATACATTTGTAAAGATTATGACAAAAAAAATTTATTGTAGGGGACAAATTGGCAAGGACCAACGTTTGGAGTCAAAATGGTCCAGAATTGCTTTAAAAACGCTGACTGTGGAGGGCCCACAGCATTTTAGAAATGATCATTTGCAACACAGCAGTGCACAAAGGCATAGTATCGCAGGAAAATATGACTAAACACATGAAAAATCTTACAAGGTTTGGATATATATACTTGACTTTTTAGCATTCTGGTGTCTGTATTCTTTGAAAAATACATTTTATGTGTAACAGAGGACATTTAAAAAACATTTTAAAGTGGTAGTGTTTTATTTTACCATGATCCCACTGAGCAAACTGTTATTTATGAAATACAAGATAACCAGTCATCTCTGTCTAATGTCTGATGTACATGCTGTCATGGCTGAAGGTGAAGTACCCAAAGATAGACTTCTGACTTTTGGTAAATTGACTAAATAGTCACATAAGTATCTTTATCTGAGCCCAGCGCATGGCCTTTGGGTCATGGGTGTGTTACACGATTTGACAGATATGCTGATATGTTGTTCAGGTGGATCTGGGCAGGCTGACTTTCCTGACGGTGGTCGGGACTCAGGGACGATATGCCAGGAACTCTGGGAACGAGTTTGCTCGAGCTTACCGCCTCAATTACAGCAGGGACGGCCTGCTGTGGAAGTCCTGGAAGAACCGACTGGGAAATGCGGTGAGTGACCCAAATATTTCACTGCAGAGGTTAGACAAAGCACCCTGGGTCGCCACTGGGGGAGGCGCAGGACGAAAGTCGGAGCAGCAGAAAGAATAGAAGAAAATCTGGAGAGGAAACATGTTACGGAGTGATAGAACAGAGCGATGGAGGGAAGAATGGGAGAAGAGGAAGGAAAAGAGAAGATAATTAAGCTTTTTTCACTTGGAGCTGCTTCTGGTCATTCACACTTGGAATCAGAGGAAATGACATTTACACACCAGCTTCCTGTTGGCCTTCAAGGGCCCTGCCAGCTACAGCAACACCATTAGGACACACTTTATACACCAGGTCATGTTTTTATCTGAGGCTTTTGGACCTCCCTTACTTTCACATTGGGAACTTCCCAGAACCACCACAGATTTCTGCTGTCAGACCCTGAACAGCAGGCGAATTCACAGCCTGACAAAAACAGTCAAAATGTTCTCAATTCTTTTTATTTTTACATATTACACTAGAAGAATTTAACTGAGAAGCGATTGATTCCTGCTGCTGGTAGCCCAACAAATCAGCAAACAATGGGGGGCCGTTTAGCTGACGAAGCAGTGATCGTGCTTGTAACAGAGTATTCCTGCCATGTGGTATTGCTATTTTTACTAAAGTAAAAATAAAGAAAATTGTAATTCTTCCGCCACCTTTTGTTGCTGCTACAAAAGCCTAATTCACTACTCCCCCTGATTTATTACCATGTTTCCTGACTGGAAACATCACCAACTGACATGGGAGGTACATAGCCCAGGACGGGAGGATCTTCCTCCAGGCTGTGAGACTCCTAAATTCATTCTCAGCACTGCACCATGTAAAATAGTATTTCTATGACTGTATATTAACCCATCTAGTGTATATATTTTTTTATATAACTTTTGCGGCACAAAGGGAACTGCAACTCAATCTTGTTATATAACCTTGTGTTGTAAAATGACAAATAGAGCTACCTTGTAAACAAACACACACACTGCCTGCAGGAGCATTGGCCTCCCCACCTCAGCCACTCAGAATAACAGAGCCATTACACACAGAGCACTCACCGTAACATACGACCTGGGTCATTACTTCCATGGGGATGTAAATACAGCACATTAAAGTGGAACAGGACATGTTTCAGTGAGAGTCTAATCTCCACTACCACATAGCAGCTCTAAACACACCTTGTTTCAGGGATTTGTCTATACTGTATGTACAGTATGTGTACTGTATGGATGTTTGTTCTTGAGGTATAGAGAAGGCACACTGTAGAACCTTCAGGGCAGTTTACCATGTGATATCTGTTTCAGGTGATAGAGGGCAACAAAAATGCCTACGCCTCTGTCATCAACGATCTTCACCCTCCGATCGTCACCCGCTACATCCGGCTGATCCCGGTCACCAAAGTGTCGACCACCGTCTGCATGAGAGTGGAGCTGTACGGCTGTCCGTGGGAGGGTAGGACACACAAACGCACTGCTGCCAAGGCTGACTGCTACGAGAAAATAAGAGCTCACAGAGACTTTACAAATTTAAAAAATACACAAATAAATTAAATTTGTCATTGACAAAAAGGCACTTTGGGCATCAAAGGGCAAAAGGGCAGGTGCTCAAGCACCCTTCGCACCCCCCTCTGCACGTGTATGTTGTAGAACGGTCATCCACTAATCACAGCGTTGGTGGTTTGATTCCCAGCTCCTCCTGCATGACAGGGGAATTAGATAGAAGTCTTTTTATCAATGCAGCCAATTACCATTGAAATGATGGATGTTAGTTAGTCACTCCACCTGTCTGACAATGTAGCTCTACCACCAGGCTAACCTACTGGTAAGGCTCTGAGCAAAGCTAAATCAGGGAGCTGCTATTAGAGCCAAAGCCTTTTGGTCTTAGTGCCCAGTCTTACTTGCTAATTGCCAGTTGGCTCAGTCCCTAATCTGAAAATAGGTTTATTCAAGACACATACAGTATTTGTACCATCAGCTGTCAAGATGTTTTGCTTTCGGTCAAGGTAATCATTCATCAGTCAAAGTTCACCAAAGTTGAACGCCAAGGGAAAGATTTGTACAGATTTACTTCATCTCTGTAGGCAAATCCGCTGATCGCTGTGATCCTACTGAGGTGAATTGATTTTCATTTATATTATCATTTATAAATGCTGCTGCGGCCGGACCTTTATCGTGGTGGCCATGATGATCTCTCTTCTCCTGTCACTGAACACGTTCATCTAAGCACCTGATAGTAAGACAGTAAGTGTGTGCAGAAGTATGCTGTGGCTCAACACTACTTGACATACACCCCGCTAACCTGTCCTCTCCGCCCTTCAGACGGTCTGATCTCCTACAGCGCTCCGGAGGGTCAGCTCATGATGCCGCCTGGTTACCCCATCGCCAGCCTCAACGACTCCACGTATGACGGAGTACATGAGAGGAGGCGAGTCACACACCCTCATCACACACCTGCGTTTCCTGTTTCCCTGCTCTCTGTGACTGACAGCTGTCTTGTCCTGTAGGAGGCTGTTCGGCGGGATGGGTCAGCTCACGGACGGTGTGATCGGCCTGGACGACTTCCTGCTGACGCGTCAGCACAACGTGTGGCCGGGCTACGACTACCTGGGCTGGAGGAACGACTCGCTGGGAACTCAGGGTTACGTGGAGATGGAGTTTGTCTTTGACAAGCAGAGGAACTTCACCTCTTTGAAGGTTTTCAACTCTGCTTATTTTACCTCATCGTAGCAGCTCATCAGCTCACAAGACATTTTTAAGTCTAGTGCACAGAAGCGCTGTGGCTGAACTGCTCAGAGCAGCGCGACATTGCACTGTGCACAGCACTCCAGTGTTCTGTGATCATTTTGTTACTTTAATTAGAGGAGGGGAATCCACATAAACCTTTTCTATTCATGTTTTCATTGGTGTGTCGTTAAATAATATAGAATGAAAGCAAAACTCCAAAATATGCACAGAAATATTATTGTATGGCTACAGTAACTCACGTCACTGGTTAATCGGTATGCTATCTACTGCTGTATGAGATGGTAAAACATGAGCACATTTTTATTTTTACAGAGACTTTTCCTGCTGAGATATGTTACTAAACACAAACAAAAACCATCAGACTTAAAAAAAAAACACTTTTCTGTCCAGTTCATCCACTACTTTGAACATTGTAACTGCTACATTACACTTTAATTAATGCACCCTCACTTGTACTTTCATTACATTTTTTTATTTTATTTTAATATGTATTGAATTTATCTTACTGTGTATGTAAATATATTTATACAATTTATATATTGATTTTAATATATGCAGGATAAAACTTTGGCACATGGTTTCAGTTCTCTATCAGAGGAATCGACAGCATACAGTATATTTAAAAATAATACAGAAAACCTTTAGTTATGTAAAAATGAACATTCTTTTATATTTTGGTATTCTGTTTTTAATCTTACAAACATAACCTGTCCTCTGTTCCTCCGTCCAGGTTCACAGTAACAACATGTTCTCCCGCGGTGTGAAGATCTTCTCCTCCGTCTCTTGTTGGTTTAAGCCCCGCCTCATTGCCGGCTGGGAGGCGGAGCCTGTGACGTTCAACACGGTGCTGGATGACAGGAACCCGAGCGCCCGCTACGTCACTGTGCCCCTGAAGCGCCGCGCCGCCAAATCCCTCCGCTGCCGCTTTTACTTTGCTGATGTCTGGATGATGTTCAGCGAGGTCTCCTTTCAGTCTGGTAACACACACACACAGAATACACACAACACAAATGCAGATCCTCACTGCTCTCAAACCAGACAAATAACATGATTCCCTTTATTTGTCCCTCAGAGGACACCGTACTCCCGACCCAGAAGACCGTGGTCCGAGGAGAGCACCATGAAAACCACACCATGACAACCACACCTAAGACTGGTATGACCTTTGACCCTTTACCCTTTTCATTTCACATAAAATAATCCCTAAAATTGAAAAACCGTAAAAGGATATTGTGTGTATCAAAAAACCATCACCACATTTAAACTGCAACATCAGCATTATAACAAACAAATATACTTTTTTGCATCAGTGGGTATTGTTAATAAAACTAATTTGTATAAAATGTTACTCATCATTAAATCTACATCTCTAACCTCTTTCCCTTCTCTACAGCAGCCAGTCCATCAGCCAGTGACCCGCCAGATGACGTTAACACGCCTATTCTGATTGGCTGCCTGGTGACCATCATCCTGCTGTTGGTCATCATCATCTTCCTCATCCTGTGGTGCCAGTACGTCTGTAAGGTGCTGGAGAAGGTGAGCAGAATAACCACTAATTCTGGCTGAATCCACTGCATGCAGATTTTATATTTCAGAATACCTCTACGCAATTCTTCTCAATAAAGAGGCGGTGTAAAGTGAAGGACTCTGACCTTAGCTTCGTCCGAACACTTTCCTGATGCATCTTTTGTCTGCAGTTCCCAGTAAGTCTTTGGCAGCTTCAAACCATCTGTTGAATAAGTGTTCTGATTATCTGAAAGCATCATAGAGCCACAGATCTGAACAGCTGCTCAATGTAAACCAGCCAGGCCAGATTACAGGAGAAGAAGAAGCAGCCATTTATTTTTCTTTTTAGGAAATAGAGTTAAAGTCTACAGCTTGTTGAGTTGTAGTGTTTACAGGAAAAAACAAAAGTGTTAATGAATAAAAGCTGGAGAGACAGTGTTTGAAAATTAGCACCTCTGATTGGAAACTACTTTACCTAATCAAATTCTGCTCTTGAATTTCTCCATGAACATAATGAAAAGGAGGTCTTTCTATGCAAACATCAAAAAACCTTCATTATTGCAATGAACATGAATATTCCTTAGGGATGGGTATCGCTACTCGAAACCTTTATGCGATCGAGCAAAACAGCCCAGTATCGAGTAGAATCGAAACGTCTCCTGTCAAACCAGTACTTCAATCGATACTTTCTGTAACCAGATCGCGGCAAAGAATTACTATTTGAATTGTTTTGTTGCAGCCAAACACACAAGCAAGACACCAAAAGAAAGAGAAGGGCGCGTCCTTTTTTCCTTATGTGCCTGCACCATAAACTGGCTCAGGCATGTTCGTCACTGTTGCGAGTTTATCACCACAAGCTTGGCTTTCTGTTGGTTTCATCTTCTGGTCTCATTTAATACATCTCTGTACATTTTATTTTCAATTCACATCACTTGTCACTGATCGATCGCTGCCTTCCATCACATCAATTAAATGCATTTGTGGTGCAGCAGCAATCAGCTGATTTTACTCATGGAGCCTCTGGCTGCAGCTGCGGCTGCTTCAGGTGTAGCTGGTGAATCGGCTGGACGTGCAGCCTCTCTTTTCCTCTGTTTGTGTCTTTAGTGCAGTTAAGTGATTTGTTAGTTGATAAGTTGTTTAAACAGACTGCTTACTCGTTTTATACTTGTTACTGTTGTTTTTGGATGAGGTTTGCGACTCACCACTAAAGGAAAAAGCACTCGCGGAGATCTTTCACTTCAGTTTATTGATTAAAGGTTAACAAAATAATTTTCTGTCATTTACTTTCAACACACGTATCAAAAAATTACCTTAAATTTGTTTCCCACGACTCATTTGGTCACTAAACTATTTCACTACTCTCTCAATCAAATATAATAAAATTCGCAAACTGTAGTCTTTCTCCGTATATACTACCTGTGAGGATAACCTAATTAGGATGAGGAACGATCTGATACAATTTAGAGAACTTTAGAGAGCCTTGCTTGTCCATTACAACAATACAAATAATAATAGGCTACCAATCAACTACTATGTATGGCTTCAACAGGTGGCATTTAATGCAAGGTATCGAATGAAGTACTCTGCTGGTATCAGTATCACTTTAAGCCTACTGGTTTTGGTACTGGTATCGTAAAATTTTAAACGTTACCCAACCCTAATATTCCAGCTAAAAATAAAAGTTTTTCCTCTTCCTCCCCATTTCTCCTCCTCCAGGCTCCACGTAGGATCCTTGATGAGGAGGTGACAGTTCGGCTATCGTCCTGCAGTGACACCATTATCCTCCAGACCCCCCCTGTCCCTCCCCGCTCCGGCCACGCGCCTACAGGTAGACTGCTTCAGTCTGTCTGTCGCACTTACCTCCAAGTAGAAAGCTGAAAAATGCTAACCATGGTTCAAGCATCGTGACCATTATGCCAATTAATCAATTAAGGGTAAATGACTGTAAAATTAAAGATACTGAATGTTGTTACATTGTTTACAACCCTTGCTTTTCACGCTAGGTTAATCTGGATGTAACCAGAGTTAGAGAGAGAGAAAGAGATGACGCATGCTTTCATTTCCAAACGACTGAGGGAACGAAGCGTAGTAGAGACTCAAAAATATGAACCACGTGTGAAAAGGCCCTTAGATAAAAAATACTAATTCGATAGCTGCCACTACTTTGTTTTGGAGAAATATAGTCATTCGGATTGCTCAGACAAACTGGGCCCTAATTCATGTTTTTTTGTTTTGCTCAGGCCCCCCCAACACTGACCCTCACTATGAGAGAGTTTTCCTGTTGGACCCACAGTACCAGAACCCGGCGGTGCTGAGAAACAAGCTGCCTGAGCTGTCACAGAGTGCAGAGGCGTCTGGTAAAACATACTGAAATTATTTGTAATGTCATTATTTGCAGTAGCCAGAGCTGAAAAACAACATCAGAATAAGGTTGACACATAGTAGAAATTCCCTTCAAAACTCCCAGCTTTTAGGCACGTCATCATGTTCATGTTTTATAGAGCAGTCATTGACCATCTGTAGGTTTGGTGATAATCACCTAAGGAAACAAACTTGAAGTACAGTAAACCTGAATTGTGTGAGTGAAGCCTTAAAAATGTGCCATATCCTCCTTGCTGACATGTTTAGACACAACTATCTAGAGCCGATCCGAGGCCTACAGTAAAATACATAAACTGCTGCAGTCTGCCCCCTGCTGGAGTGTGAACAACGTACACAACAGACACCTTCACCACCTATCCCCATCCTGCCTGCTTTTAAGTTCTGTCTTTCGCTCTGTCTTTCTCTTTTCTCTTCTGTATTTTCTTGATGGTACTGTAAAACGTGCGCATGCTTATTCATTCTGCAGTTTTTCTCTCTTTTACTACCCAGCCCTCTCTTTCTCTGTCCATGTTTCCTCCTCCTCCTCTTCCTCCAGCTCTCCTCCTCGGCAATCCTCTCTATGACCTCCTCCTGCTGACTTCCTGTCACATGACGTCAGGCTGGCTGCGTGGTAAGAGCTGAAAGGTGTGACTTCAGACATTTAAACATCTATCATCTATTGGGGTGGCTGTGGCTCAGGAGGTAGAGCAGGTTGCCCGTTAATTGGAAGTGTCTTTGGGCAAGATACTGAACCCCAAATTGTCCATGGTGGCTGTTCCACCAGTGTATGAATGTGTGTGACTGGTGAATGCGATGTATTGTAAAAGCGCTTTGAGTGGTCAAAAAGACTAGAAAGGCGCTATACAAATACGGAGCATTTACATTTAAATCTATCAGATGCAGCTGACAAACTGAGAGGTGGCGGTTTGGTCTTTTCATCTGTGTGTGTGTTTCTAGTTCTCTCACCATAATCTACTGTATATTTTCTTGTCACAAGATTTCATTTCATGATGCAACATTGAGTTCAAAAATTCTCATAATTGTGATCATTTTGTTACATTCATCATTCTTAACAACAGCATGTGGAGGAGGCTACGCCGAGCCTGACGTCACCCAGTGCACTCCGCACCAGTGTTTCCATAGCAACGCTCCGCACTATGCTGAGACAGACATCGTGCGGCTGCAGGGCGTCACCGGCAGCAACATGTACGCCGTGCCCGCCCTCACCGTGGACTCACTCACCAGGAAGGACATCTCCGCCGCTGAGTTTCCAAGGCAACAACTGATCTTCAGGGAGAAGCTGGGGGAGGGGCAATTTGGAGAGGTGAGCAGGGAAGGGGGCGGGGCCACAGACAGTGAGGGGGGACTTTCTGAATATGTATCGATGCGTGTATTTCATTCTTCTTAAAATACAGTGCAAATGCAAATCGTGTTCAATGTGAAGGAAGCTTTGTGAAGCTGTTTTGTCTCAGATGAAGTGATTTGAAAGTAGGCTGCTAACTTCCATGGTTATGTTAATACTCATCTCCCGCAGGTCCACCTGTGTGAGGCCGAGGGACTCCCAGAATTCCTTGGAGAGGGGTCACCGCTCCCTGACAGAGATGGTCGTTCTGTACTGGTGGCTGTTAAACAGCTAAGGGCCGATGCTACCAGCCAAGCCAGGTACACGATGTGTGTGTGACAGTGTTTTTATGCAGTGACCTAGTTTGTATCTTTTAGGGCTGAAACGATTCATCAATTAAATCGATTCATTTGAACTTCGCATCAATGCTTTTTAATCCATATAACTGTATAGCACACTGTTTCACACAGACATTTATTACTGCCGCACATCGCGCTTACGCTGTGAACACGACGTGATTATGGTGCCTCTGTTTGCACCGTGGAGGGAGAGAGAGAAAATAGCGAGGGACGAAGAAGAAAGTGTCCAAAATATGGGATTATTTCAAGCTAAAAGAAAACAACTCCGTAATGTTACCGTCAGTCCACCGTAAAACGAAACTTGTCGTTTAAACGTAACCGCAATGCTCGACGGCACCTGATCAGAAAGCACCCGGTGTTCTGCCAGCGTACCACTGTAAAAGCAACTTTAGCATTTAACTGAAATTATGATTGACTGACGAGTTGAAGGCTGCGCCTTAGTATAACTTGTATAGCATTCGGGTGATGTTTGTGTTGCTGAAGCAGTTTTCTGGTTGTTGGTCTGTTGATGTTGTTGGTTTGATGTTTTTAATTTCCGAAAGGACTAATAAACATCTATCATCTATCAACGTACACAGCTGATCCCATTACTGTGGGGCGCCAAGCAAAAGTACTTCTTATACGATGAAATAATCTGTAGAAGCTTCGAGTACTAAAATCATCGTTAGCTGCAGCCCTAGTTTCTTTAAAGCATCTCTGTTGTTCCTCATTAGAGATCATAAAACATGCGGCACCAGTTAGCTGACTTGGTGGACTGCGTGTCCCATGTACAAGGCCGAGTCCTTACCACAGCAGCCAGGCTTCAGGTCCAGCCTGCAGCCCTTAGCTGTATGTCATGCCCTCTCTCTCTCTCCCACATTTCCTGCCTTTCTTAAGCTGTCCTATCAAAAATAAAGGCAAAATACAATAAGCCTAAAACATATTGTATCACACATGTTATGTGTCTGTTAATAAGGGTGGAGATAATGTCATCATTATGCTCCCAAATTTTCAGGGCAATCCTCTTTGATTTCTGTGTACAAGTAGAGATTTTCACCTTATGGTGGATCATGGGGTGACAAACATTATAAGGGTTTATCCTCTAGGGACCATGAATATCCACAGACACTGGCCAGTGGTTGTAGAGAAACCTGTTTAGGACAAAATATTAGACCGAACTGCTCTGAAGCGCTAAAGGGACACGCTTGGCTGTGATTTTCACATTTTGTCCATCTGTGAGAGAAATACAAGACAGTCCAAAACTGAATGCTGAAAGTATCCAAAACAAAAGTGCCTTGCTAATCCTCCTTCTCCATCTGTGTGTCCATCAGGAACGACTTTCTGAAGGAAATAAAGATCATGTCTCGTCTGAACGACCCCAACATCATCCGGCTGCTGTGTGTGTGTGTGTCGTCCGACCCGCTGTGCATGGTGACGGAATACATGGAGAACGGAGACCTCAACATGTTCCTGTCGCAGCGGGAGATTGAGAGCACGCTGACCCACGCCAACAACATCCCTTCAGTCAGGTTGATATACCATACACACTGTTTCTGCTGTTTATACGTACATGCTAATAACAAGTTATCTGAACTTTTCAATCCATCGCCTTCATGTAGCTTTTCATGCAAACAGCAGGGGATAACAGGATTACTTTTCAGGCAATGATCAGCACTTTCCAACGGAGGAACAAAACAGAGGATCAAAATTCTCACCTCATTTATGTTCCCTCTCTAAATAAGTTCTCCTTCTCCTTCCTCTTCTCCCTCCCTCCAGTCTATCCGACCTCCTCCACATGTCGGTGCAGATTTCGTCAGGGATGAAGTACCTGGCGTCTCTGAACTTCGTGCACCGGGACCTGGCCACCAGGAACTGCCTGCTGGACCGCCGCCTCACCATCAAGATTGCTGACTTTGGGATGAGCCGAAACCTGTACAGCAGCGACTACTACCGCATCCAGGGCAGGGCGGTGCTGCCCATACGATGGATGGCCTGGGAGAGCATCCTGCTGGTAAGGGAGGGGAAGAGTTAACATTAGATAGGAATAAGACAAGAAAATAGGACCAATGATTGCAGCTGTACATATAGGATAGAGGGACTCAACCTGACACTTTTTAGTGTTTGACACTACAACAAGGAAATAAAGTGCTTTATGATGACATTATACAAATTATCAGTGCACCAGCAACCCAAAAGCACCTCTTATTCTTGACTGGTTTATTTATGCCGATTTATATATGTTTGTGCAAGACCTTTGTCAACACTGAACGGTCATTGGGGTTAACAAAAAGAGCCTGTGGACCTTGTAGATTCTAAAACTTGGAAGGCTCTTTTATAAAATGTAATCTTGACTTCTATAGCATTTTCATTTCATTTCTATGTCACCTCCCTTGCCTGCTCTCCAGGGTAAGTTCACCACGGCCAGCGATGTGTGGGCGTTTGGCGTCACCCTGTGGGAGATCTTCACTCTGTGTAAGGAGCAACCCTACAGCCTGCTGTCTGACGAACAGGTCATAGAGAACACTGGCGAGTTCTTCAGGAACCAGGGCAGACAGGTGAGACGACTCGAACGCACCCAAAGAGGAGAGAGTTCAGTACATCATTCATCCCAAGTCAGGCATTAATCTTGCATCCAGGTGTGCCTGACATAGGCCACCGCTCGGCCAAGTAATTTTAGCCACCAGTGAAATGCATCATCTATTGCATCATTAAAATAATTATGCATGTTTGTGATTCTTGTTAACTGGATCCAGACAAGGACTATGTAAACTTTTAAGACATGTAGCACTGCATGAAACTAGCTTGTAACTAACTGACAAATTTGCTAACCAGTTCATATTTAGCAGGCTGCAGTTCCTCCAGATGGGGGAGCTGTTTAGTAATTGTTGTACCAGTTTTACACATGCAATCCAATCTCAACTACAGCGGAGGGTCCCCACCTGGGGATTGGGACCCCCTAAGTGCTTGCAAAATCTAAGGGGTCCCTAGATGATTGGCAAGTTTTACTATAAACAAAATTATATTGAATTTTTCTGCCATTTTTCTTAATAATGTTACCTCTTTATGAGAAGTTTAATTAAATAAAACAGAAATGAACTGTCAGTGGTCGATCTAGTTAGGACTTATAGGCTCCATTTTTAGGAATCATGTGCAAAATAGGCTGGAAACCACAGATCTCCAGCATAGGAAAGTTACTGTAGCAGCAGCTCAAACGCCTTGGTTGGGAAATGCCCATTCTCATTCTACTTTCACCTTTTCTAGATTTCTAAAAGGTCCATCTGTTTTCATTAGATAATGCTCAGTATTACACGGTGCTTTTTGTGATTTTCTTTCTCAAAAAGACTTACTTAAAGTTCTTAGGCCTGACACTTTTCTTAACCATCTGATCTCTTTAACACCCCTACATTTCCCATCTAGATCTTCCTCTACGGCCCTCCGCTCTGCCCACCTTCTCTCTTCGAGCTGATGATGCGTTGCTGGAGTCGCGACATATCCGACCGACCCACCTTCGAGGGACTCTACCAAGCCCTGAGGCCCCATGTCAACCAGTGAGCTGAGGCTCACTGGGATGTACCACTGAGGCTTTCTTAGGCGGCGGATTTGTCCCTCTCTGGACTCCTGTAAGATGACAGACTGACAAGAGAAGACAAGAAGACTGGAACTGCGTTACACGAGTAAGTCACTGTCGGAGGGAATGAAGAAACTGGCAAAGCTGTGGTCAGAAGTTGTGGTAACAGCAGCACTCTGTTCTGAGAGATGGAGACGGAAGAGGAAAAGGGTGGTCACCTCAGAGGAGAAACTGTCTGGGGTCCAAACCTTTCAGTTGTTAGTGAACAAAGATTTCTAAGTTTTTCAAATGTTTCTATCATTGCAGATTTCATCCATCTCTTTAAAGTCCCTTTGCTGAAAACATCTAATCGGACCTTTCAATATATTTTCTTTTCATGTTGTTATGGTGCCAAAGGTGCCGTAAACATTATTTTCTTCCTCCCTTTGGCTTTTAATTATGCCAAAAACTGGATAGACTCTTCAGTCTTGGTAGTTTCTCTGGTTCATGTGTTTTTTTGTATTATTGTTGTAAAGCACTGTCTGTGTCTCTCAGTTATTCATGTTCATATATTATCCCACACTGGAGCTAGGACTGGGGTGAAATTGTAGTGTTTGTTTTATTTTTAGATTTTTATTCTATTTTATTTTTCTTGTTTTACAGTATTTCACTTTTGTTGGTCTTTTTTGTGGATATGAATGTTGTTCAGCTGAGGTTCACATCACTGTGCGAAGAGGCTGTGTTGAAACCTGTGTGGTTCACAGACTGAAAATCAGTCAGTGGGTAACTAATTGTGGGTAATTAAGGAAATAATGGAGGGAACCAAATAAGAAAAAAGCGTTGGTCCTTTTTTTGGCAATTGCCAAAGAGATATAAAGAGTGTAAGTGATAAAACATTTAAAGTGCCTTACATACGTAGCATGAGTAATGGAAATTTAACATGGGTAGGCTACTGCTAGCAGGAAGAGTAATCATCTAAGTATCTAATGCAAATATCTAATGTCAAGGTATCACTTTACCTGTGTTTGTGTTTGTGCTGGGGCCTATAAAATGTATGTGAATTGTGTCTATGTGGCAGGCCGTAGACCTGTAGGTGTATATTTGTTGTCTCCATTAGCCCTTTTCTGCCTTGTTGGAGTTAGTTGACATTTTGGTCTGTAGTTTCGTCACTGGAATAAGAAAACAGTGAAACAAATGACAACCTGTTCAAATTAAAATTAAACTATTTACCAAAGAGAAATTGAGCCTAAAACTAGGAAATAGATTTTTGCTAATAACCCATCGTGCTGTTAACTGACTAAAACGCTAGCAAGATAATATGTTGTTGTTATACTAGGTTCAGCTTATAGTTCTAAAGAAAGACACTGTAGATTCGGATGTGTAGATGATAGTTAGCTAACTGACAAAATAAATAGCTTGCTAGCTTTCTGTTAGATGAAGTACAGCTTAAGGAAAAGCTATATGGAAGCTAACTTCCTTCTTTACTTGCTGTCTAACTAACTAGCAAACTACTTAACAAAAAAATCTATCTTACGTTTAAATCAGGTTTGGCTTCATTCAAATAACTGTGGCGATGTTGCTTAGCTTTTTGCACAGCTAACTGCATAATCACCTAATTTGTCTTGTTTTTGCCTAGTTTGACAGTGTTATGACTAATCTAGGTCTGGTATGATTTTAAAGACACAGCTGCCAATCAGATGGCATCCAGGTAAAATTTCAGCAAGTGGAGACAAGATACAACATCTACATTTTGGGCCATACGTAGGAGAACTACTGTGCAATGCACATTACAAAGCCACATGTGGCACTCTAAGCTGACAGCCAACGAGCCACTAGAGAATGAGGATGAGCATAAACACCTTGGAGAGATGGCGCCATCAGACAAATCCCACCTCTCACTACATTAACAAGCCAATCCCTGCAGGCAATCCTAATGCCCTCAAAAAAATCTACAAAATATTGATTCCTATATGCTAGGGATGATGATGTCGACGGTGATGATGTGAAGTTTTCCATACATGTACTGAATCATTTAAAAAAAGTAAAGGTGATTGGTTTATGTATGTTCTTACCGTCGGATCTCTAAAGGGCTGGTCACAAACGGCAAACCAGGTGGAGTAATTTGAATCGCCCTTAGAACAAATTAATCAAAATGCAAAATGGGGCAAGTACAAATCAACATCACCTTCACAGGAAAGAGGGGAGAAGACCAAATATGTTTAGTTTGAATGCATCTTTCAGTGTTTTTGTTGTTACAGTAGTGTTTTGTTATCTGTACTGTATCTTAACACTTGTTGTGTTTACTTGTTTATGTGTTTCTGTGGTAGAAAATGGGTTTTGTGAATGAGTGTTTGACATTCCTTTGAGCACTGGGAGCTAGTTGGGATTAAAGTGGTTAACGAGAGTTGCTCTGATGTGCCGAACGTTGTGATCAAATGAGGGAGGGAGGATTTTTTTTTTTTTACGAAAAAAAAGGAAAAAGATAGAAAGTAAGGAAACCACTAAACTCAATCTCCCAGAGTCCTTTGCTACAGTGAGCCTGTGTATTTTGTTCTGGTTCCATTAGAGAGAGAGATTAGTCTTTTAGTTTGATAATGTACAGTATAGTGATCTATATTATCTCAGTGTGTGAATGCAGATTAGGTGTGATAATTGTTATTGATAATTGATCATCTATCAATTTATAGTAGCTATTTCTCTGATTATTTGTATTCTGGGAAGGTGTTGGGTTTTGTTTTGTTTTTTTCCAACAGGAATTCAGTTTTGAATATTTCTAACAGAGATGTCCTGTTTCAGACATGTATTGTACATAGGCTAGTAGCTGTGTATATTAATATATTGGGAGGAACTTTGTTCTGTCATCCCAAGTATTTTTCACTCTGTACCCTCCCAGTTTGGTTTTCTTATAATAAACAGTAAAATTTGTCAAAAAGGAGAGTAGATATTGTGTCTTAAGCTCATGTCAAGCAAATTAATGAATATATACTGTTCTGTGAAACTATACTGCTGCCAAGTAAGAATGCTTTCAAAAATAGTGTTTGTTTATATTTACCTACCATCCCATCAGATGTATTTAAACAGTTACACCAAACAGGTGCTGATGATCACCAATTCAGTATGTAATATGAAACAGCTGTGTAGGAGTAATACAGCTGGGTGTGGAACAGCCAAACTCAGCTAACACGGTGAGGCTGCTGAAGTCATACACCACTGCAAGACTGAGCAACAAGACACCAGTTAGACAGCATCAGCAAGGTCTCTCCCAAGCAGAAATTTCAAGGCAGACGGGGGTTTCCAGATGTGCTGTCCAAGCTCGTTAGAAGAAGCACAAAGAAATGGGCAACAGTGAGGATCATAGACGCAGCAGTCGGATAAAGAAACTTACTGCAGCAGGTGGAAGACACGTCATGCTTACTTCCCTTTGCTGTCGAAAGATGTCCAGCAGCGCCTTCAGCTCAGAGTTGCAGAAAACAGTGGGACCCTGGTACACCCATCTACAGTGTGGTCACAAGTGGCCTTCATGGAGGACTTGCGGCCAAAAAGCCATACCTCTGACATGGAAACAAGGCCACACAACTTAACTATGCATGAAAACACAGGAACTGGGGTGCAGGAAAAAGGCAGCATGAGCTCTGGACTGAATCACAGGTGTGAAAAGTCACAGGTATGACTAATGTCCTTTGTGTTTAGTAGTGTGATAGATTATTTGTAGATCACTAAGGAGTTGGAAGAAATACTGGTAAGAAATGCTGTTTGATTGAACTGTTTCATAATGTGACCTTTCTGTATCTGTTTAAGCTGTTTTAATTATTGCAACTACATTTCAGTCTAGTTGACAGAATCACTGCAAAGTGCACAATGGAGCGATGTTCGTGTGCTAGACATCAGCAGGGGGCAGCAGAGAGACAGAGACCTATTTCCAAACCCTTAATCTTTCAGAGAACTTCCACCCTACAGCACACTTTAGCATTGCAGTGGATAAGACACATGCCCTTGGTGTTAGAGACGCGGGTTCGAATCCACTGTGAGACACCAATGTGTCCCTGAGCAAGACACTGAACAAAACCCTTAGTTGCTCCAGAGGCCTGTGACCTCTGACATATATAGCAGCTGTAAATTGCTTTGGATGAAAGCGTCAGCTAAATGAATTAATGTTCAGTGTGCTTTATTGGCATTAGTCACTGACAAATTGGTTTCATTTAATCAATGTTGCCAAAGCAGTTCCAAAATCAATGTTTACACTGGAAGAAGACATAACAAGATTAATCCAATCAAAACAGCAGTTATCCCCCCCAACCGGTTGAGGGAGATTGTTCCACTGAGTTTAGGTTCTGCTTGAGTGTTCTTCCTGCTAAAAGGGAGTTTTTCCTTGCCCCTGTGGCCAAGTGCTTGCTCATGTTGGGAACTGTTGTGTAAAAAATATGTCTAGACCTGCTCTACATGACAAGTGCAATGACATAATTTCTGTAAAAAAAATGTAATTCTATTTAATTCAATTATTTCTGAGTTCATCTCTATGAGTGACCCTTTCACATTAAACACTGATTTGATTCTTTGTTAAAAAGCTTCAGAAAGTATAATCACCTCAAATCAAACTCTCTTACACATCTATACCTCAGTTCTGCAAACGAAATTCAGATAGCCTATGTAGGCTTTGTTAAGCCACATTGGATACACAGCCTGCCTGATATAAGCACAAATCTTGTGCATCTTAGGTTGTCACAAATTGGCTCAGGGAACGTGACAAAGAGGGAGTCCAAACAAGAGATTTCCTCAAAACAAGTATAATTAATTTCTTAAAGTGAACACAAAATAACAATGAGGTGTGGAAATCGGCAGTATCAACAATGAAAGCAAAGCATGGATTTTATGGCCCAGGGGCCCACGTGAGCTCAATCTGCTTACAACCCTCCAAAGTCAGCCAAGTGCCCGCTAAGGTTCGCCAGCACGACCTCCAAGACAGTGGGAGGAGTTTCACAACTTTAACATGAAAATACTATCAATCTCATCAAAGCACCAATGTCGATCTCCAAAAGAATTTACTGACTGTTATGTTGAAGCCTGACTTGCTTGGTTTGGTGACAGGGTCAACTCTCTCTTTTGAAAAGAACGTATCAGTTACTGTATGAATTAGATAATGATGGTAAGGTGTTACAAAACGATAGCAGGACAGAGCTTCTCTTCACCTTTGTAACAACCACACTCGCTGTAATTGACCTTGGCGGAAGCAAAGCTAAATTTGACAGGCCAAGAAACCAAAAGCAAAGGTTTGTCTGCAGACGTGGGCTCAGTGACCACAGCTTTCAGGAGAGTGGATCAGGGCCAAAAGGCAAGTCACAGGGAGAAAAACAATGGTCCAGGTTTCATTTCATTTTGTAAGTATAAAGTGTTTTAATGTTGCCAAAGACCTCTGCAGCTTCAGTTATGCAGAATAAATGACTCTTGGTTGGTTGGATAGAGAGGAAAAAAAAAAAAGCCACACAGTGTTTTGGACAGCAGCAAATAATTTCTAGACGTGTAAAGGTTTACACAACACTGGGCGAGGTGACAACAGCTTTCATAAGTGTTTTTTCAGTGGTGTGATGGTAGAGGAGGCCAAACCCAACCTGGCTGTAATTGTTGGTGCTGCTCTGCTCGCTGTTGTCCTCCTGAATGTGTGAGGAGGTTTGGTCAAGATGAGGATTATTTTTATCTCTTTGGTGTGATCTCTGTCACGTCCACAAATGCATTCTGTGGAACAGAGGACAGCTAAAGTTATAAAGCTTAGCTGGTCATTTATGGCCATACCTGACTTCTTTTTTATTAAAGTCCATTAAAGACACAAAGCAAATACAATTCATTTGAGTGCATTGAGGGACAGATTTTTGTAAGTTCAGAAATAGTTTTCAGAGCCTGAGAGACCAGAATAACTATATGAATAGGAAGACCTGATGACAGCATTTTGATATAGTGCGAATTTTTGGTTTTGATGAAACTCAATATTTTGGCCAAAAAGCCTCCAAGTTTTCACTGTCCACTCAAAGTTAAGTTCTTTCTCAGACATTTTGAGCTATCTTGATAAATATCTGCATATTTTTTTCTGACTGTTGTGTACCTGGAAAAGCCAACTACCAACTATGCTATGTTGAACTGCATATTTAACACTGTTTTAATGTTGTAATTTTAACATTTCTTTCATTTTGATATAAAAATTTAGTTAATGTTAAAGTCATCAACATTTTTATTGGATTAAAAACTCCACAATTCAATCAAATTTAATTAATAGATCTTGCTGTACCTTAGCCTGCCTCTATGATCTAGTTATGAATGAAGAAAAAGCAACACCACAATATTTAATCTGTAACAAAATAACACATACAGATAGAGGGAGGAATTATTAGACCAGTGTACCTAGTGACCTAGTGTCTTGGTCCATAGATAAAGGTTTTGGGTTGGTAACTTGGGACACATGGCAACATTCGTGCAAAAAGACTATTGTTCTTGGCTGCTGGTAAATGTAGTTTGTACCATTTTAAGACTCAGTTTTAATTCTTATTTTGCCAAAAAGGGTTAGGGTTGATTATGATGGTCATGTTATAACTAAACAATTATTTATTAAAATATAATGGAAAAGTAATGAGAACAGAGAAACTAAATCTGACTGTATGGAGTTCCTTAAGTGATAAAGCATAGAGGATTTTTTTTATTCAAAAGCTTATTGTTTTATTTGGATAATGACAAGATTATACTTCGATGTTAACCCTTTTCTTTAGTTGAAGTCCTATGATGTGTCATGGCCTAACATAATGTAGTTGTTTAGTTTCCTGTCAGATTAGGTTTACGGTCTTCATTTTACTTGTGTAAACTGATAATTACTGTAAAACTGATAATTTCAGTAAATTTACTGTCAAAATAACATCATACAGCCATTAATGTCTAAACTGCTGGCAACAAAAGTGAGGACACCCCTAAGTGAAAATGTTTAAACTGGTCCCAATTCGCCATTTTCCCTCCTCGGTGTCATGTGACTCGGTGTTACAAGGTCTCAGGTGTAAATGGGAAGCAGGCGTGTTAAATTTGGTGTTATCTCTCTCACACTCCCTCATACTGGTCACTGGAAGTTCAACATGGTACCTCATGGCAAAGAGCTCTCTGAGGACCTAAAAAAAAAAGATTTGTCGCTCTATGTAAAGATAGCCTAAGTTATAAGAAGATTACCAAGACCCTGAAACTGAGCTGTAGCACGGTGGCCAGACCATACAACGTCATGTCCAGAGGTTGTCTTTGGGAAATACTTATGAGTGCTGCCAGCATTGCTGCAGAGGTTGAAGGGGGGGTGTCAGCCTGTCAGTGCTCAGACCATGTCGCACACTGCATCAAATTGGCTTGCATGGCTGTCGTCACAGAAGGAATGGCCTCTGCATTGGGTGGCTGAGTGTAATGGCAGGTAAACTTAGGTGCGGACCCAAATGCAGACAATGGTGAGGAGGATGTAGTTCAAACTAGGGATTTATTAAGGCAAACAAAGCTGGCTTACGTGGGCGCAAAAGGCAAGAGTCCAAACAAAGCAAAACAGGCAAAGTCAAAAATCCAAGCAGACAGTGAGGTAATCCAAAACACAGAGCACATAATCACACTCAACATCAGAACAAGAAAACATTTAAACACCAGGTAACGAGCAGGGTGGGTCCAAGACCAGGTGGATGACATGAGGTAATCAGACAGAACAGACACAGGCAAGCAGGTGAAACCAATCGAGGGGAAAATGCAGACAAGTGCACACACCATGACCCCGTTTCAGAAAGCAGGCTTTTCAAACACTGAGCTTATCCCTGAGCTTGAAGTTAATTGAGGTGGGAAACTCTGAGTTTTTGGTTTCAGAACAGCTGATCAGAATTAATAATAATAATCTTTATTTGTAGAGCACTTTTCAAAAACAAGTTACAAAGTGCT